GAGATAACATATTATTTATTGAAATTTCATTATTTTCAGACATTTGTGGTTCTTCATGAACCATATTTCTAATATTTGATTGATCAATCTTTTCTAATGATAAATTTTCTAAAGTTTTTGGTTGGTTTTTCTCTCGTACTTTTCTTTTTCAATGTACAAAGTCTTTTGAACCAATTGGTCGTACCAAGCTTCTTGTGAATTTGAGATTCATTTGTTACAACAAATTGTCATGTAGGGACATCAATTTTTGCTGGAATATTTTCTGCAGGTATATATAACTTTGTTACTTTTCTTATGTCAATAAATTCATTTGATAATTGACTTGCAACTCTTTGCAAATTAATGAATTTTTCAACATCTTGTTCACATTGATTGTTGCGAGATCAAAGTGAGATAGATTTGTTTCATTTCAAGAAATTTCACCTTATTTATCAGTATGTAGTTTTTCCTCTCCCAAATTGGGGAAAGTCATTTCAACAAAATGACAATATGCAAAATGTGCAATAAATAAATCACCCGTTTAATGTTCAAGATACCTAATAATTTTTGATGAATCAAAACCCATATAAATCCCAAGTTTTCATTAGGGACCTAGTTTAGTCCGTTGTAGGGGGTGAAATAGAGACTTAAACAGTACAACCAAAAATCCGTAGGTGAGAAATATTAAATTCATGACCAAATGCCAGTTGTAAAGGTGAATATTGATAATATGTAGTTGATCTGATATGAACCAATGACGCAACATGTAATATGAATAGAATGTTCGATAACAATCCCAATTGACATGTAATAATCATAATGCTCGTGATTTAAATTCAGCAGTATTGTCAAGACTAGTAGTCTTGATTGAGTAATCGGAGAATTGCACTCGTAATTTCATGATTTGAGCAAGTAATCTAACAAAATCTACATTTCTAGTGAAAAGTAGACAAAACATGTGACCATCTAATAGAAGAATCAATTAATAACATAAAATAACGAAATTGTTCGCATGGTGGGTGTATTGCCCACATATATCTCCATGAATTCTTTTCAAAAAAATTGAAGATTTCATATTGACATTTGTAGCCTAATGTCTAATGACTTATTTGTCTTGTGAACAAGTTACACATAGATAATCATTAGGTAAAAGAATCTTCTGATTATTTAAAGGATGTATATGTGAGTTATTTATTATTCGATGCATCATTATAACTATGTCAACGAGCCGAGCTGAAATAAAAAATCTCGGGCTCGACTTGAGCTTTTTTGGGC